ATATATATATATATATATATATATCGTTCTTGCCTTAAAAGGATTTTAAATGTCACATTACTATAAACATTTGTTCTAAATGGGTTAAATGACATTCATCTCAGTGGAATTAATTTTGTATTGTTGTTTGTTCACTGTTGTTGGGAGACTACATAGGACCCTCTATCAAACTGATCTTCATCGTACAGTAATAAATGCTGCGGCCCAAGCATAAAAGCGCCAATAGAAATGCACCTGGAAACATAATTCAAAATGTGATAAATGCAACAGTGATTTTTGCAACAGTGTTTGAATATTAAGAATTATAAAATTATGTCCATGATAGAAAGCTCATTCCGAAATCTTGAGAAAATATCAACAAATCATATTAGAACAATTTGGCCAATGTAAATTCTTCTTTATTTGAGATCTCGAAATGTTTCTAGCATTGTGGAGACAAGATTTAAAACAATATTTATACTTACCAACATAAGCTACATAAATTCCACCATTTGTTTTTACATATTTATAGGTCCCGACCTGTAATCATGTACAACATAAAATAAATATGAGAAAAGATCACACTAGATACAAAGAATTCAAATTTGTATACTTACTGTTACGGCTATAGCAATTATTAAGGCTATAATCCCAACGATAATGAATACAATTCCTCTTCCTCTAGCAAAGTCTGGACCAACGGAAGATATTTTACGGCAATGTGGACATCGAGCCAAAGCATTATTTAATGTGTTAAACTGTGAAACAATTTGTCGAGTGAAACAACGGATGCATTCAGCGGACACAACAGTTGAGTGAGCACTTGTAGCTATTTGTATTGTTCTAGATTTATTATGAATCTGAAAATCTACTTCAATTACATATAATAATTACTGAATATTCACACAACTATTGTGTCTGTCAAACATGGCTAATAACTTTAAAATCTAATCTACAATGTATTTTGCTTCTTGTTTTTCACATTTTTATCTCTTATCTTTTTGCCTCTTACTTGTTTCTTTGTTTCATCACATGAGATAAAAGTCAATGAATTTTAAAAGAAACAAGAACCATTTGAGAAGATACATGATTATCAATAAAACGATTGCAAAGGGAAAAATACAAGAAGTAAAAAACAAAGAAAAAAAAACAAAAACCGAGCACATTAGATTTAATATACCATGTCCTTGATGACTCACCAAGAATGTGTCATGGCAATGGGCACAGCCTACCCTGCACATGCCTGGCATGGATAGAACTGGAGGTGTAATAGGGCTTGGAGCAAGATTAATAATACGTTTACAATTTGGCCTGGGACAAGCAATACGCTGTGAAGAACTCTTGCATATGAGTAGACAATTGCATGGACATCGTACATATTTCTTTCCAGGTGGAGCATTACGTATAGGCTGTGTAAGAAAAGTGAAGACTCATGATTAATTAACATTGCAATAACATTAACATTGCTACCTACTAATAAACAAACTATAAACAAGAAATGATCTTTGGAAACGTACTGTAGCCTCGTTACATTGACAGCACTTAACGACATGCTGATCCCTCTTTCCGGAAATATCTATCATCGCTTGACAAACTCTGCAGGTAACCATTGGCATGCCACCCTGGATGGCGGACTGATACGGCGGTGGCAACTCATCCGGACCGATCGTAGAGACAGTGTGTACATTGGACTGTGTTTCGTCTGCAATGACAAACAAGATAATGATATTCTCTTGGCGGCGATTCTCGGACGCGAACGCATTCTCGCAAGCGAACGGTGTGCAAAACCCGCGGTGTTACCGTACCGCCGATCGCATCGTTGCTGTGCGAGCTATATGTGACGTTCTCATTTTTCAGCAGTGGCTGCCGCTCGCCCTCCTTGCCGTCTCCCATGTCGAACGACGATGGGACCAACTCACTGCCACGGCACGACGAACACGATTCGTTTCTATTGTTTGACAGAACAGCTCCCGGTGCATCGATGACAAGGATGACAAAACACGAATCCCCCCGTCGCCCCCGGATCGTCCACGATGTCGCACGAATATAGAGGAGAAATCGCGGTCCTCGCTGTGGGTCTCGTCTGCTCGAGAGAAAGAAAATTCGCACTATCCACGCTTAAAGCAGAATGAATGTACCCGCTTGGAGTTGACGGGAGAGAGACGGTAGATTAAAATTGCTCTAAAATTGTGCAGGAGGCGCGGCCGAGAAACAAATGATTGTAGGACAACGTTAGATGAGTTTCGGAACGTCGCAGACATTTTCGTTTTTCCTGACGTTGGCTGCACTGCATCGGATCATATTGGAGTCGATATCAGAGCAAAGAAACTTGAGAGCATCAGCCATCCCGGCCTTTTTCGTGTAATGTTTACATCAGCGCACCAACATTCTTTTTTGCGATATAGGAACTAAATACCACGTTTATTTTGCGAAATTGTCGATAAAATTGTGTCGAAAAATAGATGTGGTGCGAGTCCGTGTTAAATCGCGGTGTCAAAAACAGACAGATGTCAATCCGTGCTACATCTACAATTGTGGATTTTAACTTGTTTTTATGTTTGTATCATAAACTCGCATTTATACATATTCATTTTTGACATCGCGAGTCAACACGAACTCGCATCACATCTATTTTCGACGTTGCGATTTTATCATCAGTACGACGTTATGTAGTTCTCAAATTGAAAATGAATGTACTGGCGTTAGTGTACTGGTTATTTCGACGGTCCCCAAAAAAATATGGGATGATTCTCATTGATTGAAATTTTTTACTCTGACAAAACGGAACGCACATCGAGATTGGTTATGAGACGAGGCACACAATTCTTTTATAAAGTACTCTCAAGTTCAATTTAATTTACGTTGATTGTTAAAACGGTGAAAGAGTTAACGAGGCAATTGTGTCGTCTTTTCAACCAACGTTAAAGGAAATCACGGGGACCACGGCGAATCTCACAATTGTTTTGTCGGAGTTACACGTAATCAGTGTGTAAACAGGAAAACACATATAATTCAGCATTTCATAACAATTATGGAGACCATTAAACATTTATGGAATGTCAATCAATTCATAATGAAGCTAAAATGTCCATTGGTTACAGATTTACAGATGTTTTACATGTAATTTCCTGCATGCTTTTTACTTACATTATTTATAAATAATATATAAATACAGTTATATATAAATATAAAGAAATATTAAAAATCTGTTTGTGATAAAAATTTTAACATTACTTGATTACATTAAATATTATTTGAGACATGTAGAAATTAAAATAATTTTGTTAAAAATAACTTCGTAATTATATTTTGATAATAAATTTAAATAATCTGGAGAGAGAAATAAATTATACTGTTATACACATATATTGTGGATTTAAAAGAATTTCTTTTAATATTTATTAAAATGTTTTCAGGCAGAAATGTAAAAATTTTGGTAACAGTATAGAGTTACCACAACAGAATTTTGGATCATCAACAGCATGTTCGCATTGTGGGTCACTTTGGAGTACAGTGGATCATCAAGTTCGGATAGCAAAAGGCAGAAAAATGTCTAAATCAGTGAAAAAGATTGTACGATACATAAAGGAAAATCCAGATCAAAAGATTCCAAAAATTCGTGCAACCTTAGTGCAGAAATCTATAAAAAATGAGATGAATAGATTGGTTATTAAATGTTCTGTTTGTTCCAAGAATACTGAGTTACCATTCAAAAAGAAAAGTCATTTAAAGCCAGTAAAGTTGAATAATTCACAAATAGAAACACCGCAAAGTAATCATAAAAAGAAAAAAAAGAAATCTAAGGACAAAACTGCTGGTTTAAATATCTCAGGTTGTACGCCTGTATTACAATTGAACAAGAAAGACAATAATGTAACGCCTACAATATCGCCTGCGATCACACCTAAAATAATTTCAAGTAACAAGAAATCTATTTCCCCTAAAACATCTAAGAAATTGAATATAGAACGATTAAAACGTATTATGGAAAATAAAACACCTTCAAAAACAA